CAGTCTTGGGGAGCAGTATATATGGATTATGTCAAATTATGTAAATAAGGACTATAAATAGATGCTTTGGCGGTCTCAATATTTCACGTTCTCAATATTTCACGTTCGGGAAGCAGTGCTAAAGTCTTTCCGTTAATCTCTTAATGTAAATGTTTATAACTAGTCCAGTACACCTTCTTGCACTACCATCCCCAAATCAATGGAAGATTCTGGAATTCTAATTATTGTGGATAATTTTAAATAAAAATATTTCAACAAAGAGACCCTGTTCTGCTCAGGATCCTTAGAACTCAGTTTCGTACATACTTAAGCATCCCTTGAATTAGTATAATCTATGCTTCATGAAAGTGTCGAATATTTGTATTTATCAACTTCGTCTCAGGATACAACCCTCAAAATAAATTATGTTCAGTCACTGAGTTTTAACTTCTTCATATATGCCCTTAACAGCATTATTTGCTTTAGACTGCTTTTCACAAAATGTAAAATGTTTATTAGACACTGTACTCTCAGGCCTACAGCAGTATTGTTCAATAGACTTTGCTGTGATGATGAAATGTTCCATATCTACAAGCCAAAGAGAGAAGTCTAGAACAGGTCCTTCTCTCTCAGCCTTCAGAAAGAACTAAGCCTGTGGACATCTTGATCTTGGACTTAAAAGTATGAGATTATACATTTCTTTGGTTTATGCCACCCAGTCTGTACTACGTAACAAAGTACCATGTAGACCCTAGAAAACTAATACGTCTGTAATTTCCCACTAACCTCCCTTGGACTGCATAAATCATACCTGCAGTGGGATTGATCATCTACCCATTACTTGCCTCTGTCTACATCTTTTTCTGCCTCCTTAGTACCTCTCACTCTAATACCATGACTTAGTGCTTAATTCCACTGCCCCAGTAACCTTTCTGGGAATAGATTTACTTCCCAGTAGGAATATCAGGGGTTTTTTGCTCCCCCAAATGCTTCACCATTGAAGTACCTGGCTCTGTACCTATGTTCCTTTGCCTTCTTAGGACTCATTGACCATCAGACTTTTTTTGCTCCTGTTAAAAATCCCCCAATTATTTAAGTACAAACTATGTTAACTATAATACCTGACTCCTTTGGGCGGCTCACTCCCTCTGACACAGGCCAAGTCTGCCACTCCCATGCCACTTCTAAGATTACCATGACATATTTAAAACTAGAAGCTCTCCAATATTTTTGCCGTGATTCAAGGCTTTGTTGACACATCTTCTAATAATCCAATCTCTCCAGTAAAGAATCCTAGTGACCAAGGAGACTGGCTAGTTTAATTTAACACTTGTGAGCAATGAAGTAGTTACAGCCAGGTTTCCTTTAGTTCCTAACCCCAATACCATCTGGTCTATATGTGACCCAACACCACTTACTTCACAGTCATTAACTTCTGTTCTTCATTTTTTTGGTTGTTTTTCCACTACACCCCTTCACCCTGACACAAATATCTTTTGGGCTATCACATGGAAAAAATCAACAATACACACGGACTGCCATGCCTGAGGGGTTTCTTGAGGCCAGTAATTATTTCTCTAGGACTCTAAATGCAAACCTGAGAAATCTAATCTTTCCCTGTAATTCTCTCCTTATCCATCATGCAGATGACTGTCTTCTCTGCTCACCTGATTTTAACAACTTGTTTGTTACAAGCTCTTGCCCACAACAGACATACGGTTTCTAAAAACACAACATAATTTATTCAGCCCCCTCAAGACCATTAGCTAGGACATGCTATCTCCTCATGTGAAGGGACAACTTTGTCCCCTAAATGTATTAACATCACCATTAATTCCCCTTTCCCTGAGACCAAAAGCCAACCTTGAGGATTTCTAGGGTTGGTTGGCTAATTGCTAGAGCCAGACCCCTAGCGTTTTAGCTATTGCCCTCTCTTGTATGCCCTAAGAAAACAATGCCCTTCTCTTTAATTGGGACTCCTCTTCCAGGTCTGAATTTTAAAACCTGAAAACCTCTTTATCTGTTTCTCCCACTTTTAGACTCTCCAGTTACTCATTACCCTCCCCCCCCCTTTTTTTGACAAAAAAGGAAGGACATTCATACCCTTGTTTTCAGGGTGGCTAGAAGCTTTTCTTTGCAAACAGGCTACTGCTACCACTATAGTTAAGCTGCTACCAGAGAGAATTTTCTCTTCTCTGGAATCCCTTTGTTCTTCTCTAGTGATAGAGAAATTCACTTCAATGGTAAGGTTATTCAAGATATTCAACAAGTACCTACGCTGCTACAAAAATTTCACTATTCCTTACCTTCCTCAGTCCTCTGGGGAAAAAACAAACCAGACCAGACCAAACCAGACCAATCACAGTGATGCTCTCAAATTAAAAACAGCCAAACGCTGAGGAACTAAACCTGCAACAGGTTTTGAACTTAGCTGTGATGATCCTTGACCCCTCCTCCTCCAAGCAACATTGATTATTCCCTTATGAAATGAGGATTATTATTAATCTTCATTAATACACCAGTGAGGATTCCTTACCTCTTCTGGTCTTAGGTGCCCTTCATTTGATCACTCCAACATCTATCCTTAAATACTGCTAATGTCTTATTAAATGCATGTATTAAATTGCACTCATTTATCATCAACAGGTCAGGTTGACTTTCCCACCACAGTCCTTACATGATCTTCAACTTGGACATTTAATTTTCAGGAAAAGACATCACCAGAAGACCAATATTGAATCCAAGTGGAAGGAATCTTACATTATGTCCTACCCACCAATACTGCCACAAAAACTGTAAGGTAGAATAACACATACTTTATATCTCACCAAAAAATAAATAAATAAAATTGGAATTCACCACTTGGCCTAAAAACAAGTAAAAATCTGAACAGACTGAAATATCAACAACTCTTCTTAGATTCATGACAGACAGGAAAACACTGGGCAAACAGCTGCTCCCAAGACTGAAGACACAGACCCGCGACTACAGGGGGTCACAGCTTACCTGAGCAGACACCCAGCGGCTGGAACTGCTGCAGGAACCAGTGCCAAGGTGTAAAAACCTGAAATATGAAAATTGATGAATTGCTGAGGGCTCAGTGTGGACAACTCGAGAGTTTACAACTCCAGGGGACCCAGTCATGGGTGGGGGTTGGGTAGTGGGCACCAAATTGTAAGATTTACCTCCAGGAACTTTGACCAGGCTTCACAACAAATATAGAGAAAAATCCCCTCATACTTCCAAAGGGAGAGAGGGAAAAGCAACCATTTTTAAATCCGTCAGAACCCTCTGTTCTTAACAAGGATCATTCTCAGGAGAAACTAGTTAATCAGAGCCTCACCTGCTGGGGTCTTATTGGAGCCTAACTGACCTAAAGGAAGAGAAATACCCACCTCCTGCTCACTCAATCCAAATTGTATCTGACCTAAGGGGAAGGAAAAGAATTTAAAAACAAAAACCTTGAAAGCTCACAGTTCAGAGGTATGAACTCTGAAACCTAATCATAGAATGACAGAACCATAGAACATGTGCCCTCCACACACACCTCACCACCACATCACTACAGGCCTACTTACAACAGTGCATTTTACCCAGTACATCATGTTTGGCTATGAAGAAAGAAAGGCCAACATCTGAAGAGACAGAGCAGGTGTAGTGTTTATTTTATTTTGTTGTGTTTAATGCCCCCCCTTTTGCATTTGAGTACAGTTTACACACAAGGTTACGTTGCTGTATTTTTAAAAATTAAAGTATAGTTGGCACATAATGTTAGTTTCAAGGGTATAGAGCAAGTGCATTTAATAAGACCATTTGAAGAGACAGAGCAAGCACCAGAACCAGACATGGCAAGGGTGTTGGAATTATCAGACTAGGAACTGGAACAATTATGAATAGCATGCTTAGTGCTATAGGCTAAAGTAGACAACATGCAAAAATTGGGCAATGTAAGAAGAGAAATGGACATCTTAAGAAAAAAAAAAAAAAAGAAATGATGTAGGTTCCAGTTCAAGATGGTGATATAGGGGCCCCTGGGTGGTTCAGTCAGTTAAGCATCTGACTCTTGATTTTGGCTCAGGTCATGATCTCACAGTCATGAGATCAAGCCCCATATTGGGCTCTGCTTTAAGTGTGGAGCCTGCTTAAGATTCTTTTTCTCTTCTTCTGCCCCTTCTCCACTTGCACATTCTCTCTTTATATATATATAAAAGAAAAAAAAAAGATGATATAGGAAGATTCTAAACTCACTTCCTTCCACGGACAGACTGAATTTAGAGCTATTTACAGAAAAATTTCCTCTGGAAAAAAAAAATTCCTAAAACTGATGGACTGACCCCTTTGCATTAGCAAATGAAGGGGAATCCACATGGAACCAGGTAAGTAAGGCTGAGAACAATCTTGCCATTTACTCCACCCCCAGTGGAAGAACACACAATTGGGAGGGAACTCACAACCCAGAGCTGCTTCATGATGGATGAAGTGTTCATACCCCACCGTGGGCATGCCACCTTTTAAGACCATCAATTAAGAGATGAGCCCCCAAAACATCTGGCTTTGAAGACCATCAGGGCTCCCATCCATAAGACCCAAAGGGCTGCAGGAACTGAGGAATGGCTCTTAAAGGTCTCACATGCAGACTCACCCTTCCCAGGGCCCAGTACAGAAGCAGCCTTTTGGAAAGCACCTGGACTTTACATGAAAGAGACTCATTTGCACATTTAAAGCATTGGTCAAAGGGGCATGGGCTTGATGGAATATTCTCCAGGAATGGAGGCTAGTAGGTGCCATCCTCCTGCTCTCCCTCTACCTTTCTAGAGCCAATAGGCACAGTGTTTTGTTTTTTTCCTTTCCATCAGTTCTCATCTTTATGCTCCACTAGGTGGACACTGTGAAAATCAATAAAAGGAAAACTCATTTAGAATGGAGTCAGGACAGGGGAATGGGGGGGCGGGGGGAAGGCAAGTGCTCAGCCCTACCACTCCTAGCCAATCCCAGTGGATATTACTTTACTTTCCCAGCAAGAGGAAGGAAGGTTTCTTCTTGGCCCCCCTCAACAGTCCAACCAATGAGAGAGAGTCATAACTCAGCCAATGAAAAACCACTATACTTCCAGCTCTCAGTTTAAGCCAGTGGAGTTTTTGTTTATAACAGCCCTTCCCAACTCCTCTCTCTCCTCTATAAAAGAGCTACCTTTCCTTTGTTCTCCAGATTTGCCTGTGGTTTTGTAGCTTGCTTGTCTTAGATTGTAGTCCTCTGCCGTTCCTGAAAAAAAAAAAAATTATCTTTTGCTGGTAATATAACTGGCAGTTTTATTTGTAAGGTTAATAGCATCCTCTTCCTGCAACAACGTGGATGGAACTAGAATGTATTATGCTAAGCGAAATAAGTCAGTCAGAGAAAGATAAATATCATATGATTTCACTCATGTGGAATTTAAGAAACAAAACATGAACAGAGGGGAAGAGAAGGAAAAATAAGATAAAAATAGAGGGAGGCAAACCATAAGAGACTCTTAAATACAGAAAACAAACTGAGGGTTGCTAGAGGATAGGTGGTGGGGAATGGGCTAAATGGGTGATGGGCATTAAGGAGGGCACTTGTTGGGATGAGCACTGGGTGTTATATGGAAGTCATGAATCACTAAATTCTACTGGAACCATTAGCACTCTATATATTAACTAACTTGGATTTAAATTAAAAAAAATCATCTTCCATGTTCTCACTCTGCCTTGCTAAAACCAGTGGACACCATCTTTTATTTTTTCCATTTTCTTCTTCCTCCTCTTCCTCCCTCTCCCCCTCCTCCTTCCCCTCGCACTTCCCCTTCTCCTTCCCCTTAATCACCTGGCCACGGAGGCCTGGGTCCCAAAGGACTGTAACAATCAGAGAGACAGTTATTGGCAGACTCCCTCTCCCAGGGCACTACACAGAGAGCCAACTGAAACACACACCCAGGCTTTCTGAGAAAGAGGCCTATGTGCTTTGTCTAGGAGCTTTGGTCTTGGGGAGCAGTTCTGGTTTGGCACACTTAGAGGGCTCTATGGAGCTATTCCCAGGAAACAGAGACCAGGGGATGCAGTCTTTGTGCTCTCCTGCTGCTTCACTCCAGCTCAATGGTATTTTCCAGAAAGGAGCTTATATACTTGTCTGGTACACTGATTTTTGCAGCTGTATTCAGGGAACACCCCTACATTGCCTGACTCTAGGGGCCAACAGGGCTTAAGCTTGTGGGTCCCACAGGACTGAAACCAACTGAGAAAGAGTTCTTAAACAGATACCACCACGGACATAGCAAGAGGTCACAGACTCAGGAGCTCATTCTTTCTGTGAAAGAGGCCTTATCATCATAGGTGCAGCCCGAGGGCCAGGCTTCTAATTAAATGTACTTATAGGAGCTGACTGTAAACCTTTCCCGAGACCAGGGAGGGAAGGCACTTTCTTTGTGCTCTCCCTCTATTCAATACTCCAGAGTGCCAGCATCTCAGAAAGCAAATCTTCATACGTTTCTGGTGCCTGGCTTTGGAGGCCAGGAGGGCTTGCAGTCCTGGATTCCATAGGATTGTAAAAATCAGAGATGGTTTTTAGCTGTCTACTACCCCTAGGGCACTGCACAGACAATAGTCTGAAACACTGAAAGAAAAAATTAAATAGAAGTAAAATTGATATGCCAAGAGAGAAGAGAAAATATAATTATATAAAATGCACTTCTACACCTATTAGAAATTGATCGGTCCAGCAGGCAGAAAATCATTAAGGATATATATAGTAGCACTCTCTTATCCATGGTTTTGTTGTCCATGGTTTCATTTACCTGTGGTTAACTGTGGGCTGGAAGCAGATGATCCTCCTTCTGATGAATTGTCAGGGGGTCAATAGTAGCTTAATGCAATGTCACAATGCCTGCGTTATTCATCTCACTTCATTTCATCCCATATGCATTTTATCATCTCAAATCACAAGAGGAAAGATGAGTACAGTTCAGTCAGATATTTTGAAAGATCACATTCGTATAACTATCAGTACAGTATATTGCTATAATTGTTCTAGTTTATTATTAGTTATTATTGTTAATCTTACTGTGCCTAATTTATAAGTTAAATTTTATCATAGGTGTGTATGTATAGGAAAAAAAAACAGTATTTAGAGGTTCTGGTAGTATCTGCTTCTGCAGGCATCCATGAGGGACCTTGGAATTTATCCACCATGGATACAGGAGGACTACTTTAGTTGAATAGAAAGGCACCATCAATCGTCTGAATCTAAACTGACATTTGAAGAATCCTTCATTTTCAACAGCAGAATATACATCCCTCTCAAATTCACATGGAACATTCACTAAGATAGACCACATTCTGGGCCATAAAACTTACCTTAACACATTTCAAAGAATAGAAATCATGTAAAGTATACTCTCCGAACACTGTGGAATTAAACTAGAAATCATTAACAGAAAAATAACTGGAGAACCCCAACATGTGTAAGGGGTAAACAACACACTTCTTTCCTCCCACCTCTCAGCTTTACTGGAATACTATTGACAAATAAAAATTATATATAGTAAGGTTGTACAACACGATTTTTTAAAGGTGTATAACATGATGATTTAAGATATTTTGTGTAAGGATTAGCACAACTAAATTAATACATCCATCCCTTCACATAGTTACCTTTTAAAAACTTTTTTGTGGTGAGGACATTTAAAATCTACTCTTAACAGATTTCAAGTATACAATACAGTATTATTGACTATAGTCACCATGCTGTACATTAGACACCTGGAACTTAATGCATCTTACAACTGAAATTTCATACCCTTTAACCAATCTGTCACTATTTCCTCAACCCCAGTCACTGGCAACCACCATATATTCTCTGGATTTATGAGTTTGAGATTTTTACATTCCATATATAAGTGATCATACAGTATTTGACTTTCTGTGCCTGGCTTATTTCATTCACTTAGCATAATATCCTCCAGGTTCACCCATGTTGTTGCAAATGGTAGGATTTCCTTCTTTTAATGGCTGAAAAATATTCCATTATATATGTATGCTACATTTTCTTTACTCATCCATCAATGGATACTTAGGCTATAGCCATATCTTGGCTCTTGTGAGTAATCCTGTAATGAACATGGGAGTGGGGATATATTTTCAAGATATTTATTTCATTTTCTGTGGATATACACCCAGAAGTGGAATTGCTGGATCATATAGTAGTTCTATTTTTAATTTTTTGAGGAATCTCCATATAGTGTTACATAGGGCTACGCCAATTTAAATTCCTCCCAACAGTGCTGAATAAAGCATTTCTCCACATTCTTGTTATCACCAACACTGGTTATCTCTTGTCTTTTTGATATTATCACCCTAACAGAAGTGAGGTGACAGCTCATTGTGGATTTGATTTCTTTTTTCCTGATGATTAAGTTGATTATGTGTTGATGAGAAGTGGTAAGTGTGGACACTCTCTCTTGGTCCTAATCTTAAAAAAAAAAAAAAATCATCCAACTTTGCACCATTAAATATGATGTTAGCTGTGGACTTTTCATATATGGCTTTTACTGTGTTGAGAAGCATTTCTTCTATAACAAATTTGTTGAAACCTTTTATCATGAAAGGATCTTGAATTTTGTCAAATGGGTTTTTTTTTTTTTGCATTGATTGAGATGTTCATGTACTTTAATCTTTCATTTTGTTAATGTGATTGATGTATCACATTTATGGATTTGCTTATGTTAAGCCAACCTTGCATCACAGGGATAAATCTCACCTGATTATGGTGTGTTTTTCTAGTCTCTTTTATTTATTTCTGTTATAATCTTTCTTACTTTTTTTCTTCTCCTGTCTTTGGATTTAGTTTGCTCTCTTTTTTTTAATTCTTGAGATGTAAAGTTAGGTTGTTTACTTGAGACTTTCTTTTTTCCCAATTTAGACATTTATTGCTCTAAACTTCCCTATTAGAATGGCTTTTGCTGCATCTCATACGTTGTGGTGTGTTGTTTCTATTCATTTGTCTCAAAATATTTTGGGTTTTCCTTTGATTTCTTCTTTGACCCATTAATAGTTCAGAAGTGTGTGGTTTAATTTCCACATACTTGTGAATTTTCTAATTAACCTCCTGTTATTGATTTCTAGTTTCATACTATTGTGGTAAGAATAGATACTTGGTGGTATTTCAACGTTTTTAATTTTAAGAGTTGCTTTGTGGCCTCACATAAGATCTATCCTGGAGAAAGTTCTATGTGCCCTTGAGAAGAATGTGTATTTTACTGGTATTAGATGGAATGTCTGTTTGTCTCTTAGGTCCATTTGGTATAGTATTGTTTACACTTGCTATTTTCTTATTTATTTTCTGTCAAGGTGATCTCTCCATTGTTTATAGTAGAGTATTAAAATTCTGTATAATTATTTTATTTTGTTCATTTCTACTTTCCTTTCCATTAGTATTTGTTTTTTATAATTAGATGCTCAAATGTTGGGTGTATAAATATTTACAATTTATATCCTCTTGATGAATTGACCCTTTTATCATCATATAATGACCTTGTCTCTTGTTACCCTCTTTTACATTAAGTCTATTTTGTCTGATATAAATGTAGCTACCCTTGCTCATTTTGGTGTCCATTTTCTTGGAATATTTTTCTCCATACCTTCAGTTTTCACCTATCTGTGTCCTTAAAGCTAAAGTGAGTCTCTTGTAGGTAACATATCATTGGAATGTTATTTACCCATTTAGTCTTTCTATGCTATTGCTTGGAGAATTTATGTTTAAGTACTTTTTGATATGTAAGGACTTACTATTGCTGTCTTATTGTTTTCAGATTTTTGTAGTTCCTTTATTCTTTTTCTTTACTATTTATTTTTGAGAGGGCGAGAAAGAGAATGCACATGTAAGCAAGCAGAGGAGGAGCAGAGAGGGGGACAGAGGATCCCAAGTGGGCTGACAGCAGCAAGCCCAATGTGGGCTTCAAGCTCACAAACCAAACCACAAGATCAGAACCCTAGCACAAGTCAGGGCCCAACCAACTGAGGCATCCAGTCACCCCTGTAGTTCCTTTATTCTGTACTTCCTCTGTTGCTATTTTTCTTTGTGATGTGATGAACTTTTTTGTAGTGGTATACTTTGATTCTTTTTTTTTTTTTTAATGTTTTGTGTTTTGTTTTTTTTTTAAGTATATTTATTTTGAGAGAGAGGGAGAGCACGTACGTGGGAGAGAGGCAAAGAGAGAGGGAGAGAGAGACAATCCAAAGTGGGCTCCACGCTCAGTGCAGAGTCCAACTTGGGGCTTGATCCCATGAACCATGAGATCCCATGGGATGGGATTCTTGATGAGAACCACCAAGAATTGTGTGCTTAACTGATTGAGCCACCCAGGCACCCCAATCTTTGTGTTTCTTTTACACGTTTTTTTCTCTGTGGTAACCTATCAGCATACATAAAGTATTTTATAATTATCCTATTTTAAGCTGATAAAAACTTCAACTGCATACAAAACTCTACCTTTACTCATACCCTCTCCCATTTTTGGTTATTGATGTTACAATATACATTTTTTTTTATAACAACACTTTTTATTTTTAAGTTTATTTATTTTGAGAAAGAGAGCGAGCAAGCACGCGAACAGGACAGGGGCAGAGAGAGGGAGAGAGATAATCCCAAGCAGGCAGAATTTCTGCACCACCAGCACAGAGCCTGGTGGGGAGCTCGAAGCCACAGACTGTGAAACCATGACCTGAGCCAAAGTTGGATATTTAACAGACTGAGCCACCCAGGCACTCCTACAATATACATATTTTAAATATTGTGTATCCACTATCAAATTATTATTGTTATATTTATTTTTAACACACTAATTTTTTTTAAAAGTAGACTTTATGCCCAACATGGAGCTCAACACAGGACTTGAATTCATGACCCTGAGATCAAGACCTGAGCTGAGATCAAGAGTTGGTCACTTGACTAACTGAGCCAACCAAGTGCCCCATTAATATATTAATTTTTGAAACTTTTAAATTAGAGTTGAAAGTAATATATGCACCACTATTACATTAAAAAATTCTGACTTTGACTATATATTTGTCTTTAACATTGAGTTTTTATTTATTTATTTATATGTTTTTCATCGTTAATTAGAGTCCTTTCATTTCACTATGAAGAAGTCCCTTTACCATTTCTTGTAAGGCAGATCAAGTTGTGATAAAATCCCTCAGCTTTTGCTTGTTTCAGAGTACACTGTCTCTCAGGACAGTTTTTCTGGGTATAATATTCTTGTTTAGCAGTTTTTTCCTTTAATAGTTTGAATATATTCTCAGACACCCTCATGGCCTTCAAGAGGCCTTTCTCAGTAGAGGCCTTTCTACTGAGAAATCTGCTAATCTTATGTTACTTCTTGTATGTGATGAATCAGTTGCTGCTTTCAAAATTCTCTTTATCTTTGACTTTTGACAATTTTAATGCATCCTGGTGACCTTTTCAGGTTCATACTATTTAGGGACATTTGAGACTCATGAACCCAGATGTCCAAGTCTCACCCTAAATTTGAGAAGTTTTCAGCCATTTTTTAAATATACATATATCTGTGTATGTGTGTGTGTGTGTACATATATATTTAAATTTATATATATATATATTTGAGAGAGAGAGACGAGCAGGGAAGTGGGGCAAATAGAGAGAGAGAATCCTAAACAGGCTCCACACTGTGCATAAAGCCTGATGAGGGGCTCAGTCCCACGACCCTGGGATCATGACCAAAGCTGAAATCAAGAGTTGGACACTCAATTGACTGAGTCACTCAGATGCCCCTATTAATATTTTTTTGTTAAATTTCTTTGTATTTTTTTCCTGAAAGACTTTGTTTTGACAGCACTGTTGTAGTTTTACTTCAATCCCAAATTTCTGAAACAGAAATCAGAAGTAAATTAGAGGGGAGGGAGGGAGGCAGGCC